ACCCGCCCCGCGCTGAAGCCGCCGCGGCCACCATGTTGACTGAGGGCAGGAGCCGCCTCCCCGGCCGAACGCGATGACTCGCGGCTCCGGGCTCAGTCCTGGTGCGTGAAGCCCGAGGGAGGCCATGTCTAGTGTGGGCAAGATCCAGGCGCCTTGGGGAGCTTTGGGCTCGCACCGGGTGGTGGACCTCTGGGGTGAGTCTCCATCATCGCTGATCTGATGGTGAAGGCTTTGGGAAAGTGCAGGGATCAGGATGCCGCTCCTTGCCAGACCCCGGAAGAAGTGATGGACATAGCCCTGACCAGACCTGTGCAAGCTAGGCTCGCCCGATTCCCGAGGGACCCCGACCGCCTGCGTGCCGGTTTGAACGTCATCACATTGCCTGGCACGACCCGGCAGGCTTGTCTTCCAGGCGGCACTTTGAAGTCACAGTGAAACGATATTATAAGAATTACCATCCTTTTCAGACCAGCCTTTAAAAAAAATCCCTGAGCTCTACCATCATTTATTCATTCGTTCAACAGATACTGTTATTTGCCAGCACTGTCCCAGACCCTGGGAATACGACAAAGTGTGAAACTAACAGGGTTTCTGCTTACCCTCCTGTTTATGGATGCTGACAATAGTTGCTGTGTTACCAGCATTTGTTGAGCATGCAATATCTTCTTCAATCTTCCATTCAGTTCTTTTGAGAATGATAAGACTGTTATCCATTTCAAACCCAAGTGTGTTGCAAAGCCCCTAGACTTGACTTCTAAACAAAAGGTCACAGACCCATAAATATCAGAAGGACCCACCTAGGTCATATCAGTAAGCGAAGAATTCTCGTGTTTGAATCATCATACTGACCATTACTAACTGACTTGAATATCAGTGTTGGGGAGATTATAAGAAACGGTGGGGACTCCGGCAAACTGCAAATCAACGTCCTTCTAAAGGGGGTGGCTGCCACTCAGCTCCAGCCAATTATTCCCACGTGAAAATCCGGGCTCAGATAATCTGATTTTTTAAGAGAAGGTAGAAATTCTATTTTTAAATGTCGGTTCAATTTAAAGAGAAAAAATAGTACAAAAAAAAAAGTGCCCCTTTGTCCTGCCTTCAGCTCCAAATCCACTCGCTTGTGATCTCTGTAGATTCATCTCTTTGCTAACCCTTAGCCTGAGTACTGGTTACTGCAGAAGGGAGAAATCAGGGAAATCAAAGTCTTTCCTTTTTTTAAAACAAATCCCACCTTACACCATATTTCAAAGTAAATGGCTTTTGCCTCTGGCCTCCCATCCAGCAGTAAGTAGGACCCTTATGGTGACACCCCATGGATTCTTTGCCCTAGCCCCCGAATCACTCGACTCCCACTTTCTAGTCAAAACATTCATTCCTCACTGTATCTTGAGCTTGTGTGGACATCAGGATGCAATCTGATCATTTATACTAAAGTGTGAATGCAGTGGCCCGCAACCCTTGCAGACATGTTTGAGAATTTTCAAATATGAAAATTGTGGAGGAGGGAGGGATTAAAAAAAAGGAATAGCTTTTGGTGAAATTTCAAGCAGTTTGACAACATTTTATCACAATATTCAGCCATTAAGTTAAAAATTGGTTTGTTTGCTTGCTTTCTTGTTTGTTTCTAGTAGATTGGAAGGGTCTTGGGATGGTCTCTGTAGATTTCAGCCTGACTTGGAAGTTAGCCCCCAAGGTTTACTTCCCTATGCTGCGATTTTTTTTTGGGGGGGGTGGGTTTTTTTAGCACTTCTCCATTTTGAACTCCTGTCCATAGCACCCATCAAAATCTGGGAAAGACTATCAGCTCTTAAGGTAGAGACTAGATCTGTTTTGCTGACCAAAGATTCTGAGAACTGACCATGTTCTCATAAATGTTTGGTTAAATGAATACACTGCTTTAGAAGGAAATTGAGCCTACCAACAGCTTTTCATCCCCCACATCTTATGCCCTAAGCCCATGTCTAATTTAAGCCACAGCTATAAACTGTGTAAGCCACTGCAGTGTGATAGCCCCTCTCCCCCCACTTCAGAATTCTATTCTTTATTTCTTTGCTTTTCTTCCTGCAGGTTCTCCCTAAAGCCAGAGAACTCTGGCTAGAGTTGAATTAACAAGCCTCTCTCCCCTAACAGAGGCAGCCCTCAACTGGTGGAGTCTTAGCTGAAATACAACCCGATTGCCTGGGCCCTCCCCTCCAGTCCAAGCAAGCCACTTGGGATCCCATGGCTGTCATGTGCTTCAAAGAAATTAGGACCCCTTAGCACCCACCTTGGCACCACCACACAGGGGCATCCTAGGGCTCACCACATCCCTTTGAACATGGCCGCCTCCCCAAACCTGATACTACCTAGTTGCCACTCCCATCTTTTCCCACCAGCACGGGGGTGGAATCAAAAATGTAATTGCTATAGCTCAGCAGTAATTGGAGGCTGGTTTCCTTGGCCACTAGAGTCCAATAGAATACAATTCCGTCTGACTTTCCTCCTGTGGGGGGAGTGTCCTCCAGTCTCTGCTTGCAGTCCAGTGTTACGGAATGTCTTGCTCTGCCCCCCTAGACCCTCAAGCAATTTGATCCAGACATATGGGCCTTGGTTAGGTGGGGTATAGCTCAGTGGTAGAGCACATGCTTAGCATGCACAAGGTCCTGGGTTCACTCTCCAGTACCTTCAGTTAAAAAAAAAAAAGAAGGAAAATAAAGAACAGACATATGGGCCTTTGCTCAAGTGGTATTCTCTATCCCAAACGCCTTTCTCTGAGCCTCTTCCGTTATCCAACCGCTCCTTATCCTTGAAGTCTCGTTAGATATCACCTGCTCCAGGAGGCGTCCCTTCCACAGGCATCTCTCAGTCATGACACTAAGTTTACCAGAAGTCTGCTTACAATCTGTCACCTGCTCTAAAGTGTGGGCTTCAAGCCAACAGAGGCTCCTCTTACCCATTATTGGATAATTAGTAAGGTAGCCATCGGATAGCGTGTTGATTATTTGGCAGCTGTAATACCCAAACATCTGAACTCCTTTGTGAAACATAGGAACCCCCTTCCCAATCTGGCCCTTCTCACCATTCCAGGCTTATTGGTCCCCGTGGGGCCCCAAAGCTGACCTATTCCAGTTTAACCATAACAGGCTTGGAAAAGAATTCCTAGTTGGAGTGCTCTGATGGTCATTCTTTAAGATCCACCCCAAACAACATTCTGTAGTAAATCCTCTACCGTCCCTCTCTGCACCCACCCCTTACTGCCAAGCTAGGGAAACACAAGTTAGAAACAACAGTGCAGTGAGTATTGTCATAATCTAAACTTGGTCCATCCCTGCAACTATCTCCTTAAGCTGACACGTTGGACCGAAGGGAATGCAAATTTCATATTTTGACACCTATTGGCAAGCTCACCTCGAGAAAGGTTTTATCCTGCCAACAATTATGGGGGGGGGAGGCCGCACATTTCCCAAACCCAAGGCAGTATTGATATTTTCAGTCTTTTTCACATTGGCAAATTCGATGAACAAAAAAATGGCATGTTAATATGCTTTTATCTGTAGGAGTGAAGTTGAACATCATATTCTGGTCTTGCAGGCATCCAGCATCTACACAGACTTTCTATTGGAAGAGGATACCAAATTATGCAGGACAACTCAAGCTCCATTATGAAAACTGAGCAGGGGCTGGGGAGAAGGTATTCCCTTCCCATTCCTGGAATCTAG